CAACACCATGGAACTCATTAGATGGTTTGATAATTTGGCCAATAAAAGTTTTCCGTAGGATTGGTTTCTATGTGGATTCTGGTCTAATGGACCAGTCCTCCTCTATTTACTGTCTTTTCTGACATTCTCCACCCCATCCATTCTAAATGTTAAACAGCGTAGGTAGTTTGTGGGTGGGGAGGGCTGCTGGGGCTGGGCTCGGTCGATAGCTCTAACTCAGACTGTCTGCATGGGCAGAAAGTGGGGGAGGAAAAGGGGCGAGGCAGAGAAGTGCAAGCAAGAGGGGGAAAGAAATCGAACAGATAGGGAAAGAAAGACTATCAACGTTTTTTGCTGTAATATCTCTGCGTTGACTATGTTCTTGTCATTCCCAAAAATTAGGTTTGAAATTGATTTGGAGATGTGAATTGATTGGGGGTGCTGAAGGGAAAACAGAGACGGAGAGAGAAAGACAGGGAGGCAGACAAAATGGAGGGAGATTGCTGAGCTCGCTAGCTCTGTTGCTGGGGTAGAACTCCATTAATTGGTTTGTTCTCCTGGCATGCAGGCCTTGCTAGCCAGGCTCTAAGCTCAGCTGCAGTGAGCAGAACAATCTTACCACACAAACACTGAGATGTACCGGCAAACAGTACTGGAGCGTCGGCTCTCGGACCAACAGGATCCGAGACAGCTTCTACCCCAAGCCATAAGACTGCTAAATAGTTAATTAAATGGTTACCCGGACTATTTGCACTGACCAGATCTTGCACTGACTCTATGCAAACTCACAAGACTACACTGAGTGTACAAAACATTAGGAACACCTGATCTTTCCATGACATAGACTGAGCAGGTGAATCCAGGAATTTGCTGCTGCTACTTTGTTTTTTATTTTACTCATTATGATATATCCTGATAACTAGTCACTTTACCCAGCCTTCATGTACATATCTACTTCAAATACCTCATACCCTCCCTACACATTGATCTGGTACTCCCGAGTGGCGCAGCGGTCTAAGGCACTGCATCTCAGTGCTTGAGGCGTCACTACAGACCCCCTGGTTCGATTCCAGGCTGTATCACAACCGGCCGTGATTGGGAGTCCCATAGGGCGGCGCACAATTGGCCCAGCGTTGGCCGGTGTAGGCCGTCATTGTAAATAAGAATTTGTTCTTAACTGACTAGTTAAATAAAGGTAAAATAAAAAAATTGCTCCATTCTTCTTTATTTTATTCCTCTTGTTACTATTTGTTATTATTATTTATTTTTTAACTCTGCGTCGTTGGGAAGGACTCGTAAAGCAACCATTTCATGGGTATGTCTACCCCTGTTGTATTTGGCACATGTGATATATAGAAATTTGATTTGAGAGAGATCACAAGAGACAGCCACTGGTGTCAGGGCACAAGTCATTGTTTTATTTACCTGCATTTTTCAATATCATTCCAAACTAGTAAAGCGTGCAGTGTATGCTTCAACATACCACAACAAGAAGTAAGCTTTGTATATATGACTGTTGTAGGAAACATATAGGGTACTGTGGTTGAGGATAGAATTTGAGTGAATTATCTATTATACAACAGTAAGAAGGGGAGGCCTTCCCCCAGTGGTCTTACTCCAGCCAGACAGAGCCTAGATGAGCTTTGCTCCAGCACTGTCAATAGTGCTAAAAAGTGCATTACTGTGATTACCTTGTTACTCACTACAGAGAGGTTATCAGTTATAAATTGGATTTGAATTGACCATTCAATTCCATTTGCGATTTCACAGTAGAAAGTCGGTCTAACCGGTTTAATCGTTACAAGGTAGCCTTCTCTATACCAACGACACAGATGGCAAAAGCTTAATTATCTTCATTAATTTGTGCATTATCGCTACATATTAAAGCCTCTCATAATGGTTCATGTTCAATAAGTTATTTTTCCTAATGGCTCCAGTAAGGGGTGTGGTATTGAGACCACAGCAATATCTGTGATTCATTTGAAATTCCTGATCTCAGTTGTAAGGGAACAGATCGGTCATAATTGTTTCAGTATTTTGGCCTATGTTGTTCCACTGTCACATCATCATAGCTTGGGTTCTAGTTCCTGCCAGAAACAGAGCTGCTGGAGAAATAGCTCCTCTCACCCAGTGACTGATGGGAAATGGGTTTGGGAGAAGCCAAAGGTTGTCTCTCCAAATTAGCTCAGGCACCAGGGTAACTGTGAATAGACAGCCTTGCCTCCAAATCCCTCTCTTGGCTTCCTCTGTCCACTTCAGCCTGCAGTTGGCTTTAGCCAGCCAGCCGCTATATTTACAATAATGTCATGAGATGAAAATGAAACCAAATACTGGGAGCATTGTAGAAATTCTAATTCACCAGTCTTATGGTTTTCCTGTTATGGGAACATGTATAGTGTACAAAGGGTTGTGTTACTACAATGAATCTCTGTTACGAGCATACTTGCATCTTGGACCATATCTCTGGTGGTGGGGGACTTTTATGAGTAATTGTAGTCAGTTTACTACAGACAAGCCCTGGTTGGACTGATAAGGGAAGCTACTTTGCTTCCCTGTGCTTGTAATGCTGTCTTTCCTGTGTTGTAATTTAACTGTGATTCCAGAGTAACTCGGCTAGAATGTCTTTCTCGTTAAGTCACTTATATAACAAAATATTATGTCTTTCTCTCTGCCAAACCCCACCCCCACACTCTCTGTGCATCTCTGTCCCTCTCTCTTTGTTTCTCTCTTTTTCACTCTTTCTCTCCCTCTGCCAACAGCAGTTCACTGGCACTGCTCTGTCTCTGTCTTTTTGTCTTTCATCTCAAGGGGTGACTTGGCACAGGGGCATGCTGGCACTGTTCAACAGGGTTAGTTGTACTTTGTGTGTTCTTGCTCTGGGCGAGAAAGAGAGCGGGAGGGAGGGTGAGTGAAAGAGAGACAGGAAAAAGAGCAATCTAAAATGGCTGCCAACAGCAAAGTCCTCTGCACATGAAATGTCTGCCAAAATATTATGTTACATTGAGCAATCCCTGGCCAGAGAAATAACTTACTTGGAAAGAAAATAGCAACAACAAGGGCTACGATAAATATTTATTAATAGTAAATGTGTAAAGATGAGGTCGGGAATATGAGAGAGATATAGGAGAGAGAGTTTTTCAGCAAATTCTGAAAGTGCGTAATAACACAATTCCAAACTGCTTATATTGATGGAATGTGAATAAAAATATATATATATAAAAAAAATAACAAGTTTAGGGCCAGGATGGGGCAGTAAGAAGATCAGTTTTGCCCTCATTGAACCCTGTTCAAGCTCACGAGGGGACAGCTGCAATGTTAATTTAATATCCATTCTGACATTTATACGTTTATCACGTTTAAATGGTATTGCAGAGGTGTTGGAGATTTGTTCATTAACTCTTATAATCCTGGAATGATAAAACCATCAAAAGTAAGATATTACTTGAAAATATAACAATAAGATTTTAACAGTTAACAAAATGGCCGTCACCTACTTTCGTAGGGAAAATGGATGGTGTCCTGCTTCGGCCACGTTTTATTGCATCATCATATGGCATGATGTCCTGCACCCCCACCCTCCTAAAAACCGTTAGAAACTCTAATATAAACTTTGTTCGAAAATATACGAAAGAAAATATGGAAACTATGTATTTGTTTTCCAGAGCATTGTCTTTGGGGCATTACGGGTATTTGTGTGTGAGTGTGTGAGTGCCAGTCTCTCTAGCCTAGTCTCGCTCTTGTTCTCTCTTTCTTTCGCTCTTTGTGCCTGGGATTTTGTCTGAGGGCGGCCTGCCTAAAATCCACTGCAGCTTTTGGTAAGAATTTATTGGATATTAAAGATAGCAGAGGAACGAAACAATCTGTGCCATATGACTTGGCCAGTGTAAAATCAAGATGTTTTGCTGTTTTTTTCTTTGTCTTTCTACTGCAGTAGATTAGCAACAGAACGAACCACAACCCAGAGGTCCGACCATACTCCTCAATCAGTTTGAATACTTTTTTGTACATCGCGCCAAACTTACAAACTGTTTTAAGCCTTATGTCCTTGCAGAGGCTGTGTCATGTCATGATAGTGAGTATAAGCTCGAGCACTATCGAAGTGGCTAAGGTAGGAATAATGCCATCCTCTACAGAGCTTCAGGAACAAGACAGTTATTGCTAACTGTGGGGATGGTGCTGTCAGCAGTGGTTGTTACACATCACAGTATGGTGTCTGGCTCACTTGTCCAGTGTAGAGGGAAGTCAAGGGGAAGCAGGGTGCTTGTTCTAGGGGGGTCAGTGTGAAGATTGCAATGAGGCGCTCCCTCCACAGGCTCTAAACTCCACCATGTGGAGCATTGTGGAATGTGTGTGGCTTTGATCCGTGAGTGGAGTCATGCCTATCTGATAGAAGAGGCCCTATTTATTTATCTTTTAGGTTTTTACTGCGGTTCACTTTGAACGCCAGCCAGACTCTTTGTGGTAAATCTAGTATTCTTCTGGTTTGGACCGCACTTTATTGATTTACTTGTATTATCTGAATTCGCCAGGTGCAGCAAATATTAAGTTCACACAAATAAAAGTAGGTTTTATGGTTGGATTGTGTGGCCTTGCCATTGTTGTGATGCTTCACTGAGTGTACATTTTGGCAAAACAACCAGAATAGCCTGCCAGAAACCTTTTTTGCAATTGGATTAGAGTTACATTTGCCAAACAAGAAAGTTATTAAGGGATTTATTTGGGTCATGTTTCACATTTTCACATTGAAACCCTACTTGTTATAATAGCTTTAGTACTATCTAGCTATAAACTTAGAATTTAATATAGTGCTTAACCTTTTTGATATTTGTTACATTATTTCTCACTAAATAGGTTATTTCCTAGAGACTGTTTATAACTACTTAAACACCCTCAAATGAGCCTTTTATGTGGTAAAACAAATGATGCTGGGTTTAGACGTATGTTTCTGACACCCCCCTTCCCCTCTCTGTCTGTCTCTTTCTACCCCCTCTCTCTCTCTTCCTTTCTTTCCCTCTCTTCAGAGTCAGAGCAGAGCAGTAGCCCACGCACAGGTATTGGGTCAGATCAGGAGGATAGCCGAGCTGCCACCATGGGTAAGGGGCCCGATGGACTCTCTCTCTCACACACACACACACACACACACACACACACACATCCAAATACCAACACACGCTGAAATATTCATACACATTTACACACTACCAGACAGTGACATAAGCGTTGAGATAGTTATTCATCCAGTACCCACAGACGCACACAATACCTTTCACTGTAATATTTGGAATCCAATATATTCCAGGTTGCTATTAGGCTAAAACATTATTTGAATTGTGTTTTACTGGCTTGCTGATACTCTTGTCCTTTTCTTGTGATGTCTCTTAAAAGTGAGAAGTTACTGTAATGCTTGTTGTATTATGTCACAGAACTCTCCATGGTGACTCATCTCTGTGTTTTCCAGATGCTCCTGAGTTTCAGGAAAGCTTTGTGACGTCAGGAGTTTTTAATGTAACAGAGCTGGTGCAAGTGTCCAGAAGTAAGATTTTTCACCTTTTTATTAAGCTACTCGTGGTTTTAAATATTTGTGGTTGAATGGATGGATGGGTGTGTGTTGGTGGAATAACTTAACAAAAATCCATATTTTGTTCTTAAAACGTCATGTGTGGCTACTTTCATTATAACTACCTATCCATAACTTACAGAGCAACATGCTTAGGAGCTGGGCATGTGTCACATAAACTATGGTGATTAAAGTTCTTACAGCCCTCTTCAGTGAAATAATTGCTAGCTCACTAACTCTGGCCCTCAGGCAGGGGGTGGAAACTCCCAGCCACTCTGGCAGTCACACTGCTTCCCTCAGTAGCTGAGCTCATAGTCTCTACATTGCTGCCTGTTTCACTGCAATTCAACGAATATCCCCATCAGATAGATACACAGAAATAGGAAACACATGGATGGTATAACAGGCTAGATGACAAAGATGGTAGTGAATATCCAGACCCAGGATTGCGGGAGATACTAACGTAATCCAGTTACAGCATTAATTGCAGGCAACATGCAGAGTAAACCTCTCCTTACAGTCTACACCCCATCAGACACTCTGACTGGGAATCAGATCATATGGCTTTAGAATGACGTTTTCTATGACTTCCTCTTCCTTTTTGTTGTTTTATCTGTCTCATTGTGGATTGTGCAGATGTCATATCCATTCAGTAGTTTCTATTCACATTGCCAAGGCTATGTGTGCTGTGCTGTGTGCTCTGAGCTCAGTCATTGGCTGGGGATGCTGTGCTCACCAGGCCTGGCATTAGCAGTGAATTAGGGCCACATTAACACAGCCCCCACATGGCCAACCAGCCTCTAATCACTCTGTATGAATAAGCATCCCCTCCCAGCCACACACAAGCCTCACCAGTCACCACCTGAGACCTCCATTCACTTACCGTCCAATCTGACTCGTCATTTACATACGTTATTTCATTAGGTTTAGAAATGGAGTTGAATCAGATTTGAAAGGCAGCTAATGTGAAGGGAGCTGAAGGGAGAGAAGCTCAGCCATCTGTCACATGTAATTGGTCACGTTTTCAGTTTTCACAGTGATATGCCTTTCTCCAAAGGGTCAGTCTTCATCTGTCATTCAGTATGAGCAACAACCTCTGATAACCGTACATTCACTCACACACACAGCTGACAGCTGATGTAGAATGATGTAGCTACAATTATCAAAAAACTAAACGAGTGAGTTATGGTGCATAGGGAAAACATTTCACATTACACCTGTCAAACAGGCTCTCTGTTTTCCATGTTACACTTGTCTTTTTTTTAACCTTTATTTAACCAGGTAAGCCAGTTGAGAACAAGTTCTCATTTACAACTGTGACCTGGCCAAGATAAAGCAAAGCAGTGCGGAAAAAACAACAACAACACAGAGTTACACATGGGATAAACAAAACATACAGTCAATAACACAATAGAAAATCTATATACAGTGTGTGCAAATGTAGTAAGTTATGGAGGTAAGGCAATAAATAGGCCATAGTGCAAAATAATTACAATTATAATTTAGTATTAACACTGGAGTGATAGATGTGCAGAAGATGATGTGCAAATAGAGATACTGGGGTGCAAATGAGCAAAATAAATAACAATGTAAATAACAATATGGGGATGAGGTAGTTGGGTGGGCTAATTACAGATGGGCTGTGTACAGGTGCAGTGATCGGTAAGCTGCTCTGACCACTGATGCTTAAAGATAGTGAGGGAGATAAGTGTCTCCAGCTTCAGAGATTTTTGCAGTTCGTTCCAGTCATTTGCAGCAGAGAACTGGAAGGAATGGCGACCAAAGGAGGTGTTGGCTTTGGGGATGACCAGTGAGATATACCTGCTGGAACGCATACTACGGGTGGGTGTTGCTATGGTGACCAATGAGCTAAGATAAGGCGGGGATTTGCCTAGAAGGGATTTATAGATGACCTGGAGCCAGTGGGTTTGGCGACGAATATGTAGTGAGGGCCAGCCAACGAGAGCGTACAGGTCACAATGGTGGGTAGTATATGGGGCTTTGGTGACAAAACGGATGGCACTGTGATAGACTACATCCAATTTGCTGAGTAGAGTGTTGGAAGCTATTTTGTAAATGACATCGCCGAAGTCAAGGATCGGTAGGATAGTCAGTTTTACGAGGGCATGTTTAGCAGCATGAGTGAAGGAGGCTTTGTTGCGAAACAGGAAGCCGATTCTAGATTTAACTTTGGATTGGAGATGCTTAATGTGAGTCTGGAAGGAGAGTTTACAGTCTAACCAGACACCTAGGTATTTGTAGTTGTCCACATATTCTAAGTCAGAGCCGCCGAGAGTAGTTATTCTAGTCGGGCAGGCGGGTGCAAGCAGCGTTCGATTGAAGAGCATGCATTTAGTTTTACTAGCGTTTAAGAGCAGTTGGAAGCCACGGAAGGAGTGTTGTATGGCATTGAAGCTCGTTTGGAGGGTTGTTAACACAGTGTCCAATGAAGGGCCAGATGTATACAAAATGGTGTCGTCTGCGTAGAGGTGGATCTGAGAGTCACCAGCAGCAAGAGTGACATCATTGATATACACAGAGAATAGAGTCGGCCCGAGAATTGAACCCTGTGGCACCCCCATAGAGACTGCCAGAGGTCCAGACAACAGGCCCTCCGATTTGACACATTGAACTCTATCTGAGAAGTAGTTGGAGAACCAGGCGAGGCAGTCATTTGAGAAACCAAGGCTATTTAGTCTGCCGATAAGAATGCGGTGATTGACAGAGTCAAAAGCCTTGGCCAGCTCAATGAAGACGGCTGCACAGTACTGTCTTTTATTGATCACGGTTATTATATCGTTTAGGACCTTGAGCGTGGCTGAGGTACACCCATGACCAGCTCAGAAACCAGATTGCATAGCGGAGAAGTTACGGTGGGATTCTAAATGGTCGGTGATCTGTTTGTTAACTTGGCTTTCAAATACTTTCGAAAGGCAGGGCAGGATGGCTATAGGTCTGTAACAGTTTGGATCTAGAGTGTCACCCCCTTTGAAGAGGGGGATGACCGCGGCAGCTTTCTAATCTCTGGGGATCTCAGACGATACGAAAGAGAGGTTGAACAGGCTGGTGATAGGGGTTGCGAAAATTTAGGCGGCTAATTTTAGAAAGAAAGGGTCCAGATTGTCTAGCCCAGCTGATTTGTAGGGGTCCAGATTTTGCAGCTCTTTCAGAACATCAGCTGTCTGAATTTGTGTGAAGGAGAAGCGGGGGGGGGCATGGGCAAGTTGCAGCGGAGGGTGCAGAGCTGGTGGCCGGGGTAGGGATAGCCAGGTGGAAAGCATGGCCAGCTGTAGCAAAATGCTTGTTGAAATTTTCGATTATCATAGATTTATCGGTAGTGACAGTGTTTCCTAGCCGCAGTTCAGTGGGCAGCTGGGAGGAGGTGCTCTTATTCTCCATGGACTTTACGGTGTCCCAAAACGTTTTGGAGTTAGTGCTACAGGATGCACATTTCTGTTTGAAAAAGTTAGCCTTTCCTAACTGATTGTGTATATTGGTTCCTGACTTCCCTGAAAAGTTGCATATCACGGGGGCTGTTCGATGCTAATGCCGTACGCCACAGGATGTTTTTGTGCTGGTCAAAGGCAGTCAAGTCTGGGATGAACCAGGGGCTATATCTGTTCTTAGTTCTGAATTTTTTGAATGGGGCATGCTTATTTAAGATGGAGAGGAAAGCACTTTTAAAGAACAACCAGGCATCCTCTACTGACGGAATGAGGTCAATATCCATCCAGGATACCTGGGCCAGGTCAATTAGAAAGGCCTGCTCGCTGAAGTGTTTTAGGGAGCGTTTGACAGTGATGAGGGGTGGTCGTTTGACCGCGGACCCATTACGGACGCAGGCAATGAGGCAGTGATCGCTGAGATCCTGGTTGAAGACAGCGGAGGTGTATTTAGAGGGTAAATTAGTCAGGATGATATCTATCAGGGTGCCCATGTTAACGGATTTAGGGTTGTACCTGGTAGGTTCCTTGATAATTTGTGTGATATTGAGGGCATCTAGTTTAGATTGTAGGACGGCCGGGGTGTTAAGCATATCCCAGTTTAGGTCACCAAGCAATACAAACTCTGAGGATAGATGGGGGGCAATCAATTCACATATGGTGTTCAGGGCACAGCTGGGGGCTGAGGGGGTCTGTAGCAAGCAGCAACAGTGAGAGACTTATTTCTGGAAAGGTAGATTTTTAGAAGTAGAAGCTCAAACTGTTTGGGCACAGACCTGGATAGTATGAAAGAGCTCTGCAGGCTATCTCTACAGTAGATTGCAACTTCGCCCCCTTTGGCAGTTCTATCTAGACGGAAAATTTTGTAGTTGGGAATGGACATTTCAGAATCTTTGGTGGCCTTCTTAAACCAGGATTCAGACACTGCTATAACATCAGGGTTGGCTGAGTGTGCTAACGCAGTGAATAACTCAGACTTAGGGAGGAGGCTTCTGATGTTAACATGCAAGAAACCAAGGCTTTTGCAATTACAGAAGTCAACAAATGATAGCGCCTGGGGAGCAGGAGTGATACTGGTGGCTACAGGGCCTGGGTTAACCTCTACCTCACCAGAGGAACAGAGGAGGAGTAGAATAAGGATACGGCTAAAGGCTTTAAGAACTGGTCTTCTAGTGCGTTGGGTACAGAGAAAAAAGGGGGCCGATTTCCGGGCGTTGTAGAATAGATTCCTAAACAGATCAACAGGATGGGGTACCGTATAAAGGAACAGTCCAGCAGGCATCAGCTGTGTAGCTGAGTGATCATAAGGTCCAGTGAACAGCAATAAGTAAGTCCGGGAGCAATTCAGTGGCTGCTACGTTACAGGCACGGCTGTTGATTGCGTGTGCTAGCGGGCCGGGGCTAGCAGATGGATCTTCGTGGTCGTTGCAACGGGAAGCCTGTTGAAACCACATCAGACGATTACGTCGGCAGACCAGTCGTGATGGATCGGCGGGGCTCCGTGTCAACACTAGGAGGTCCCGTCCGGTTGACAGAGAGGTAGATAGCCGGGAGATGGGCCTGGCTCGAAGCTAGCTCAAGGCTAACTGGGGTTAGCTTCAGGACAGTGGTGATTAGTGGTGATTAGCCAACAACGACAACAGCCATTCGGTTGCAGCTAGCTAGTTGCGATGATCCGGTGTTAAGGTCCAGTGATTCCGGCAGAAAATCCGATATGCTCTGGCTCGATAGCGCGATGTGCAGACTGTGCAGACTGGCCGATAATTGGACAATGGTGAAAACCGCTAACGGTGGCTAAAAGCAAGTAGCTAGTTAGCTGGCTAGCTGGCTAGTTTCAGCCAGAGGTTCTGGATAAAAATGTATGAAGAAATAATAGAATCCGTTCCACATTGGGTGAGGCAGGTTGCAGGAAAGTATATTTAGTTAAAGGATGGAAAGTGAGATTGAGAAATATATACGGAAAATACATTTTTTTTTTTTTTTTTTTTTTACATGAGGACACTACAGAAAACACGTCCGCACTGCTATGCCATCTTGACTGACTAATTGGAAGTAAACGTAGTTAAAGACTTCAATTAACCACCTGCCATCTGGTCTCTCCTGGGAAAAAGACTGCTATTCCAGATTCACTCCCTTCACTCCCCAAATCCTCAGCTGCACATGATGCTATGCTATAACAACTATCACCTGCATCTCTGTTTATGTGACACATTCAGATTCATATCACAAACTCCACAACACTTGTATCATGTATTTACGCCAATATCAATGCTTGTGTTTTAAACCCCAAGAGGCGTTGATTTTAGACTACGTAATTAGCTTATTTAACTAATGTTACTTTTAAGTGCTTTCTACTGTATTTACCCAGGCCTCATATGGGATGCATATCCTAGGAGACATTAGCCGCCTTTTAGAAATGATGAATTCTCCACTGACCTACTTTGCTAGTGTAATTAAACAGAGCAGAATGTGTTGTTATTACTGCTTTGCATCACCATGGCTATCCAGCTCAACCATAGAAATAGAATCCCACACATTGATGTGAATGGGGATTCCTTTTCTAATAATTAGATTTCTATGCGTTCAACCACCTCATGTTCGGAGTTCCCTCCCTGGTTACTCCTTTTTGGCCAGAGTTTCCTGTAAGGTGCACATGAAAGACTTTCTACACTGGAGATCCATGAATCCTCCCTTTGTCTTGTGTTCCCTAGCGTCTCGGTACAGTGTGTGAGTCAGGGAGAGATTGATCGCCTGGGGATCTGTATTGACGCCATCCCACTGTTAATAAGCATACCTGCCCTAACAAATGGGACATTGTTCTCCGAGCTCACTGTCTCCCCACGGCTCGGTAAAGTACAGTACACACTAGCGTAGTATAGTGCAACAACATCTCTGTCCACTCCAGCCAGATCACAGCACAGTAGCAGGCAGCCATTAATGCACATGGCCATATAAATGACATTAGTGGAAACCTGAGAGGGGAAATGGGGTAAATGCTGATAGATGGCTGCACAGCCCCAGACCCATAATGCTACATCATCATGCTCTTGTCCTGAGAGTTGAAGTACAGTAGCAGACTGCAGCTGGGATTGTCCACTTTTTGTAACCTCTCGCTCAACGTCAACAAAACGAAGGAGCTGATCGTGAACTACAGGAGATGGCAGAGAGAGTACGCCCCCATCCACATCGACAGGACCGCAGTGGAGAGTCAAAAGCTTGAAGTTCCTCGGCGTGCACATCACTGAGGACCTGAAATGGTCCCTCCAGGACATCGACAGCAGCCGGTGTCACAGCCGGTGACACAGGAAGGCCAAGAAGATCATCAAGAACCTCAGCCACCCAAGCCACTGCCTGTTCACCCCGCTACCATCTAGAAGGCAGAGACAGTACAGGTGCATCAAAGCTGGGACCGAGAGACTGAGAAACTGAGAAACAGCCATCAGACTGTTAAACAGTCACCACTAGCCAGCCTCCGCTCAGTACCCTGCCCTGAACCATAGACACTGTTCTAGCCGGCTAACACCTGGTACTCTACCCTGCACCGTAGGGACTGCTGCCCTATGTACATAGTCATTGAACACTGGTCAGTTTAATAATGTTTACATACTGCTTTACCCACTTTATATGTACACTGAGTGTACAAAACATTAAGGACACCTGCTCTTTCCATGACATAGACTGACCAGGTGATTCCAGGTGAAAGCTAAGATCCCTTATTGATGCCACCTGTTAAATTCACTTCAATCAGTGTAGATGAAGGGGAGGAGACAGGTTAAATAATGATTTTTAAGCTTTGAGACAATTGAGACATGGATTGTGTATGAGTGCCATTCAGAGGGTGAATGGGCAAGACAAAATATTTAAGTGCCTTTGAACAGGGTATGGTATAAGGTGCCAGGCGCACCTGTTTGAGTGTGCCAAGAACTGCAACGCTGCTGGGTTTTTCATGCTCAACAGTTTCCCGTGTGTATCAAGAATGGTCCACCACCCAAAGGACATCCATCCAACTTAACACAACTGTGGGAAGCGTTGGCGTTAACATGGGCCAGCATCCCTGTGGAACACTTTCGACACCTTGTAGTTTAGGCCCCAACGAATTGAGGCTCTTCTGAGGGCAATTAAGATGTTCCTAATGTTTTGTACACCGTGTGTGTGTGGGGGTGTTTGTGTGTGTGTACACAGTGCATTCGGAAGGTATTCAGACACCTTGACTTTTTCCACATTTTGTTACGTTACAGCCTTATTCTAAAATAGTTTTTTCCCCTCATCAATCTACACACAATGCCCCGTAATGACAAAGCAAAAACAGGTTTTTAGAAATGTTTGCACATTTATAAAAAAGAGAAATATCACATTTACATAAGTATTCAGACCCTTTACTCACTACTTTGTTGAAGCAACTTTGGCAGCGATTACAGTCTTGAGTCTTCTTGGGTATAACACTACCAGCTTGGCACAACTATATTTGAGGAGTTTCTCCCATTCTTCTCTGCAGATCCTCTCAAGCTCTGTGGGATGGCGTATCGCTGCAGAATGCTGTGGTAGCCATGCTGTTTAAGTGTGCCTTGAATTCTAAATAAATCACAGACAGTGTCACCAGCAAAGCACCCCCACACAATCACACCTCCGCCTCCATGCTTTAAGGTGGGAAATACACATGCGGAGATAATCCGTTCACCGACACCGCGTCTCATAAAGACATGGCGGTTGGAACCAAAAATCTCCAATTTGGACTCCAGACCAAAGGACACATTTCCACTGGTCTAATGTCCATTGCTCGTGTTTCTTGGCCCAAGCAAGTCTCTTCTTCTTATTGGTGTCCTTTAGTAGTGGTTCCTTTGGAGCAATTCGACCATGAAGGCCTGATTCACACAGTCTCCTCTGAACAGTTGATGTTGAGATGTGTCTGTTACTTGAACTCTCTGAAGCATTAATTTGGGCTGCAATTTCTGAGTCTGGTAGCTCTAATGAACTTATCCTCTGCAGCAGAAGTAACTCTGGGTCTTCCATTCCTGTGGCGGTCCTCATGAGAGCCAGTTTCATCATAGCGCTTGATGGTTTTTGCGACTGCACATGAAGAAACTATCAAAGTTCTTGACATTTTCTGGATTGACTGACATTCATGTCTTAAAGTAATGATGGACTGTTGTTCCTCTTTGCTTATTTGAGCTGTTCTTGCCATAATATGGACTTGGCCTTTTACCAAATAGGGCTATCTTCTGTATACCCTCCTACCTTGTCACAACACTACTGATTGTCTTAAACGCATTAAGAAGGAAAGAAATTCCACAAATTATATTTTAAGAAGGCACACCTGTTAATTGAAATGCATTCCAGGTGACTACCTCGTGAAGCTGGTTGAGAGAATGCCAAGAGTGTGCAAAGCTGTCATCAAGGCAAAGGGTGGCTATTTGAAGAATTTCAAATATAACATTTATTTTGATTTGTTTAACACTTTTTTGGTTACTACGATTCCAAATGTGTTATTTATAATCTGTGTACGCTACCAATAAACTTTTATTTGATTTTGGGGTGCTTTTCTTGTTACAGAGAAGTACACACAGATACAACACAATATGTTTGCTCACAGAGCGACACAATTCTTTAGCAGCGATGTGTGAGTGAGCTTGAGGATGGTGTTATGTCATTTGTGTAGATATTTTAGGATTATTCTATAGATAATTGATGTCTAATTGAAAGTGATGTACAGTGTGTGTTCCTCCCCTGACTGACCTGTCCCCCCTGTGTGTGTGTTTGTTGTGTGCAGCTCCGGTGGTGACAGGGGCAGGCCCTAACTTTTCTCTGGGAGAGCTGCAGGGGCACCTGGCCTACGACCTTAACCCCTCAGGGGTGGGCATGAGGAGAACCCTGCCCAGCACCTCCTCCAGTGGGTCAGTACCCAGCCCCGAAACACACACACACACACACACATGTGCGCACACACACACACCTAGACTGGAAATGAATATACAACATACACTTCAAATAGACAAACTCACTGCACAATACACTCGGTTTGTTTGTACTCTACCCTGTGAATAAACTCACATTTAGAGTGAATGTTAGAATATATTTCATGTTAACAGGAGCCTTGCATAAGTGAATTGCTGGATGTGCAAACACTTGGGTCGATGACAGGAGGACTGTATGGTTGTTTTTATTGGTGCACAGAGAGCAGTATCCTGGTGTTGAAAGCACAAGACCTTCACTACAATAACAATGGCTGTTCCTCATGTGACTGCAGGCTATGTAATTTATCTGAGCGTGTGCAACACTGCCAAAACACAAGCTGTGACTTATTGTCTTATTTTTCACTGTAAACGTCAAGTAAAGCTGGGACAAACTGAGACCGTAAATAAACTGGTTTACCTGAGAGTCCTGGAGCTGCTCAGTTTCCTACCGGCCATCTCCAGGTTGACGTTGTTGACCCACTTGTGTACTGTGCATGTGTATATACTTTATACACAGTTTTGAGCTGTCAATGTTTCACATTGCCTTTCCCTTATTTCCTCCTCCCTCTCTCCCTCTGTGACATACAGGAGTAAGAGGCACAAGTCGGGATCCATGGAGGATGATGTGGACACCAGTCCTGGGGGAGAGTACTATACCTCTCCCAACTCCCCGGCTAGCAGCTCCCGCAACTGGCAGGAGGATCTGGAAGGAGGTGAGCATCCCCTCTGGGCTTCCACACAATCTCTTAGCTATTGTATAGTTTTGACCAAGGACAGTGCTTATTGCTCGTCAGTTAGTACAAACTCATTATGTCTTGCTGAGGACACTGGCTATCCTCCAACTCTTCAGTAATTTCAAACGGTGACTCAGTTCTGGTGTCCCTCTTAAATGTTCTTCATTACGGGTGTCGAGAAACGTCTACAACTCATACTTTTCATAATCACAGTGGGGAAACAGCTGAAATATCAGGCCATATGTCACGCCCTGACTCTAGGGATTTGTATTGGTTGAGTCAGGGTGTGTATTTTCTGTGTTGGGTTTGTCTATGTTAGTTTCTAGATCGTTTAGATCTATGTTGGCCAGGGTGGTTCCCAATCAGAGGCAGCTGTAGCTCGTTGTCTCTGATTGGGGACCATACTTAGGTAGCCTGTTGGCACTAGTGGGGTGTGGGATCTTGTTCCGTGTTGAGGTATGTTATTTGTCTACCTTGGACTTCACGTTTCATTTGTTGTTTTGTCGTGTGTTTAGCCGTAAATAAATATGAATGCATATCACGCTGCACCTTGGTCCTTCTCGTCCGTAAACGATCGTGACACCATACTTTCACTTCAAGTACCTTGAACGCCATTGACACAGTGCAAAAGAGCAAATTATAAATATATCATGTTATAAACAGAAAGTACGCAGCTTCAAATTTCCCAAATTGAGCCTGAAGTCGTAATTAATTCATGAACCAACAATTTTTGTGAAAGTCTGCAAAAAGTCAAGTGGCCCAGGATACCTTGGAGCAGTATCCACAAATGCACCGTCGCAGTAGCTACCTTCTTGCTTTCCTCTCACCTCAGGTTCACGAATCAGTTTGCTAGTATGGAATGATTTTCCTAACAAAGATATCTAGCAAACAGCAAAGCTACTGTGTATCTCTCATCCAGATACAAGCAATCTTTTCAAGATAATTGTATAAAGCAGTATTTGAAATATTGATATCGCATATGCCTTTCACATTGTCTTGTACAGTATGGCCCTCCTCCCCCAACAGCACTGACCAGGTTCTGGTAGAAATAGGATGAGTAGGTTACAGCATGCACAGTTTGGTCCAGTGGTTGAGTGAGTGAGTGTGGGACAGAGTAAGTGGTCAGGTAGTGGGCGTGCTGAGTGAGTAGGGCCTGCCTGGTAAGTGCACTACACGTGGGATCATGTGTGTATGAGCCTCGAGGCAGCTCTCTAACCATGGGTTAGCAGCAGTAAGTGGGAGGAGGATCAACATCTTTACAACACAACCGTTACCTGAGTGTTTAACACACACCGAAAACATTTTAACACACTGTGTGTTGTTCTACCGGGGGAGTTTCTAGGCATCCCATATGATCTAATGCTGTTAAACTGCGGTGGACTCTCCACGCTACACTAATAGTGTCCAGTGGCCTGTAAAGGGCCCTGGTGGCGTGTCTGGGGGCTTTGTGGTGCTATTAACCAGAGTGGCCCCGGCTGGGCCCCAGGCTCCAGGAGGGCACCCGATACAGGTACCTTGACGCTGACACCAGAGCTGTGGAGGTCAACAGAGCAGAGCCGGCCCCTCTCACCCCCAGCCCCGACCCCGTCAGAGGCCCTGCAGGAGTCTGGCCCAACCCTCCTCGTGTCGTGCTCTCTCTTCCTGTCTAGACAGCTCTAATGAGCTCCTCTTTAACGACCCCTTCGGATGATTGCTCTGAGATGGTGGGGGGGCTACAGGCTGTGTGAGAGGAGGATGTTTGTGCACCTTCCCCAGGTAGAGGTGGTCAGGGAAGCTTGCCTCAATACTAGGGGAAGCTTGCGTCAGTCTGCAGCGGGGCGACTGGATTGGAAAGGTAATGCCTGGCCTCCTGTAGAGCTGTGGTTTGACCCCTGGCTCAGGTCACCAGCACTACCAACTCTTAGTTAAGGAGGTTACGGTTTAAGCCTCACTTAACCATCGATTAGATTACAACTCATACTCTGTAGACTTTGTTCAAAAGAGACATTCTCAAGGTATTGTAATGTAAATATTAATATAATGTGTCAATACAGTAGGTAGATGTGTGGGTTGGCCTAGTCCCTTGAAGACTGAGCTGAGTGGTCAGTCAGATTAGTGTGATCAGGTAATTAGCGTCAGTGCTGTAATGGCTGCCCCTGCCTAACCCCCAGCACTAAGCCGGACGTGCATGTTTATCCTATGAGCAAGTCTCCCGTTGAACCTCAGCTGCCCCCCTGCCCTCTGACATTCCTGAAAAGCTCTGATTTACTCACTCACTCCACTCTGAGACAGAGGGCTGAGGGTGGAGAGCTGGGGTAGAGCAGGGGAAGAGGAAGCTGTCAAATAAACCTTTCCCCCTCTCTCTCTGTCTCCCTCGCTCTCTCTCCAGCTCTTTCTCAGAAAACAATTAGAGTGAGGGGTATAAATGTATAATGTGTGAAAGAGAATCCTCACTCCATGACTGACTCCCTCTGTACAGTATCACAGTAAGAACTCCGCCACTCCTAAGAAGGAAACAAAGAGCTGTGCAATGTTAATACCCTAATCTAAAACAGGCCCGAGCTGGGTGGAGAAAGGGTTCCTCACACACATTCTGTGTGCGATAGCAAGCTAAACACAGAGGAGGAGGACAAGGAGGGTTGCACCCTGCCAGTAATATCACTGCAACAAAGATGCATTTGTTTAGCACATCTAAGCAACTCTGGTATCAGGCACTGCAGGCCACTTGGGAATGTGAGTGATCTACCTAGGCGAACCGGATTTGGGGTAGACCTGGCCAAAACATAACATTGATTCTGATCCTGTTGTTTTGGCTTAATGAGGAAGTTGGGAGCCCATGTGCTCACTGCAACTGCAGCACTGAGGACTTACTGGGTCTTGTCAATGCACCCTGCCACCCTGTGTTGAGTTACTGTAATTACAACAGCCATGTAGTAGCAGATTCAATTGGGCAATTTAAATGTAGGGTCTTTTCAATAGTCTTCTCCAGACAGTCATTATTATTATGGGAGTCGCATCAGTAACACCCTCTGTATCTCTGTCTCTGTGTCCAGGCATGTCCCCTGGAGTAAAGAAGACCGAGATGGACAGCCCGTCTCCTCAAGAGAGCTCCCCACGCCTCGGCTTCACACAGCACCACCGGCCCGTCATCGCAGTGCACAGTGGTCAGTACACACACTCTTATGCACATCACATTCACAGGAGACATCTTGTCACTGTTGCCACAATCCACCCCCCTCACACATGCACATCTCCTAGGATATGAATCGTGTTTAAAAATTTCAAAACAAAAGTCTGAACTGTCATTTTTTAAAAATCAGCCCTTCTCCACAGCTAAGATATTCCGTATGTAATGTCTCGTGCTGTAGGGAGGTTCAACATCAGCAGCAACACTATCTACATAGTTCCACATTTTGACTGACTGAAGGTATTATGCTTTCAACAAGACCAGCTTCCTTTCAGACCATGCATTATTTGAGGTTTTAATTGAACATCCCGTTAACACTTTCTGACAGATAATTGTTTGTGGAAACAATGAAGAGTAATCTATGAGCAGGTAGTGTTCCCCAGGCAAACGTCTGCTGGATGATGCATGAACAATTAAAGCCGCTATTAAAATGAATTGGCCGTGCATCACCATATGTCAGCTAAATTAGCGCATGGTGCTGATAGAGTTGCCATACTAAATGTGATAAACAAACTCATGCAATAGGTACTGCACGAAGGGAGAGGCGCAAAGACTGAGTCATTTCATTACATATACACTACCGGTCAAAAGTTTTAGAACACCTACTCATTCAAGGGTTTTTCTTTATTTGTACTATTTTCTACATTGTAGAATAATAGTGAAGACATCAAAACTATGAAATAACACATATGGAATCATGTAGTATCCAAAAAAAGTGTTAAACAAATCAAAATATATTTTATATTTGGGATTCTTCAAATAGCCACCCTTTGCCTTGATGACAGCTTTGCACACTCTTGGCATTCTCTCAACCAGCTTCACCTGGAATGCTTTTCCAACAGTCTTGAAGGAGTTCCCACATATGCTGAGCACTTGTTGGCTGCTTTTCCTTCACTCTGCGGTCCGACTCATCCCAAACCATCTGAATTGGGTTGAGGTCGGGGGATTATGGAGGCCAGGTCATCTGCTGCAGCACTCCATCACTCTCCTTCTTGGTAAAATAGCCCTTACACAGCCTGGAGGTGTGTTGGGTCATTGTCCTGTTGAAAAACAAATGATTGTCCCACTAAGCCAAACCAGATGGGATGGCGTATCGCTGCAGAATGCTGTGGTAGCCATGCTGGTTAAGTGTGCCTTGAATTCTAAATCAATCACAGACAGTGTCACCAGCAAAGCACCCCCACACCATAACACCTCCTCCTCCATGCTTTAAGGTGGGAAATACACATGTAGAGATCATCCGTTCACCACACCTGCGTCTCACAAAGACACAGCGGTTGGAACTAAAAATCTCCAATTTGGACTCCAGACCAAAGGACAAATTTCCACCGGTCTAATGTCCATTGCTCGTGTTTCTTGGACCAAGCAAGTCTCTTCTTCTTATTGGTGTCCTTTAGTAGTGGTTTCTTTGCAGCAATTTGACCATGAAGGCCTGATTCCCGCAGCCTCCTCTGAACAGTTGATGTTGAGATGTGTCTGCTACTTGAACTCTGTGAAGCATTTATTTGGGCTGCTATTTCTGAGGCTGGTAAATCTAATGAATTTATCCTCTGCAGCAGAGGTAACTCTGGGTCTTCCCCCCCCCCCTACCTTGTCACAACACAACTGATTGGCTCAAACACATTAAGATGGAAAGAAATTCCACAAATTAACTTTTAAGAAGGCACACCTGTTAATTGAAATGCATTCCAGGTGACTACCTCATGAAGCTGGTTGAGAGAATGCCAAGAGTGTGCAAAGCTGTCAAGGCAAAGGGTGGCTATTTGAAGAATCTCAAATATAAAATATATTTTGATTTGTTTAACACTTTTTTGGTTACTACATGATTCCATATGTGTTATTTTATAGTTTTGATGTCTTTACTATTATTCTACAATGTAGAAAATAGTAAAAAAAATAAAGAAAAATCCTGGAATGAGTAGGTGTTCTAAAACTTTCGACCGGTAGTGTATATATTATTTTTTTCCGTGAATAGTGGTTGTATGAAAGTCACTGACTGTAGAGAATGGCACTCAAACTGAATAATTATTTTGTTTTGCAGAACCACACATCTTTCAATGTCACTTTTATTATCTCAAGCATACCATCATTGTGGAGCATGAACAAGTACATTTATTAACACATTTTCTCTCTCTGTCCCTCTGTTTTTCTCTCTCTTTCTTCCTCTCCCTCTCTTTTCTCCCTTTCTCTCTCTATGTGCAGGGATTTCTCGTAGTCCGCACCCCTCCTCGTCTTTGCACTTCCCCACCACCTCCATCCTGCCCCAGTCCACCTCCTACTTCCCCCACACCGCCATCCGCTACCCGCCACACCTAAGCTCCCAAGACCCGCTGAAGGACCTGGTCTCCCTGGCCTGTGACCCGTCCAACCAGCAGCCCAGCCCAGTGAGTCCAGCCCATCTAACAACTCTAACTAGGGCCCAGAGTTTGTCCTGGTCAGGTCATGTGGTCAGTAAAACTCCTGACCCTACTCATTACTCACTGTCATACTAGATAGAAGTAGAACCCAGCATGGCCAGGGCACAACTGAGCCAGCTACCAATGCTGTCACTAATTGATGTGTGGAGAGAGTTGGTCTCCAATTCACCATGTTTAATGTGTTCATCTCACAGAACCTGTAGTAGTGTGACATCATGTTTGGGCCGTGATTTCATGGCAAGCTCTTCAGTTTGAGGTAATGTTAAGGGAAGTTCACTCACTCGGGTATATTTCCCAGAGGAAATGTATTATACTTTTGAGTGGTTTATTCAGATATTTGTGTTATTTCCATTTGTCATTTAGATTCACCTAATCGTTTGTTTAATATTTAATTCCTTCATGCTTCATGTTTTCTATATCGTCACCCTGTCTCAGATGGCCTGGTCCCCTGTGAACAGTATGATATGCCATTTCATTCCCATATTCTCCCCCACTGTGGTCTTTACTACTGGACTGGCCTGGGGATACTCTACTGTAGGTGACATAACCTGAGAGAGAGGCAGCAGCCCACAGCAATGTAGGAACATAGTATACAGCTAGAGTCAGGTTACCCTCACGTAGCTGCTACTCCTCCCCTCTGCTCCAGACTGCAGAATGAAGCCACCACAACTATGCGTGACTCTCAGAATAATTAACACTCACCATACTGTATCTTTAAACATGACAAAGGAGAAAGGGGCAACAATTCGATAGATCTGAAGCCATAAAATCATTGTAATCACTGTATGTGTTTTAGTCAACTTCTTAGATTATCGTTGTTCAATGTATTGGCTGGCCGGTAGTACAGCAGTGGTGAATTCCCCGTCACAGAGAGGAAAATAAGCCCTGAGACTTCCTGCTCTGTTTAGACTCAGCCTGCTGTCCCTGCTGGCCCTGGGACCCACCCAGATCCTCAGACATGGTTATACTCATTACCAATATATGACACAGACCTGAGAGGACCTGCCACTGCACCACATGCAAATGACCCTCCTCCCAGCTTCAATAATGCTGGCATTACAAGCCAGGTTGCTCAATGAAGCTGCTATACTGTTTCTGTTTTGACTTGAAAGGAGTGAAGGGGTGGAGGGAGAAGGAGATCCCTGTACGTCTCTAGCAGTGATGCTGAGGGTCTGGCGCAGGCAGGCAGGCAGCTCACAGAGGAAAGAGGAGAGACATTTATCAGGAGTGCCCCTCAGCAGCAACCACGCTGGGCTCCACTCAGCCCAAACTGCAGAGTCATTGAAATTCGCCCTGCTGCAGTGCGACTGCAGCCAGGCAGTCACAAAGGACGAGCGCATGGGACCACAATGTAGCTGACTCATTTGCTCATCCATTGTTGTGGAAGACAGTGAGTGTGCACTGCAGTCCTCTCCTCTGGGGAGGAGAGAGTCTCTGAAAGACCATGCCAGCCAGTGGAAGTGCAGCCATGGATGGGTGACTGGTTGAGCAGTGCAGTGCCCTGGACATCACTCATTCCCTCTCCCCTCTCTCTCTCTCTCTCTCTCTCTCTTACACACACACACACAAACATGCTGATGGAGAGGGAAAGCATGTGTATGAGAGAGAGTGAGAAATAGTTTGAGAGACAGGGACAGTGCAGTGACATCTACAGTAATATATCATCTGTGCTGCAGCAGTGATGCCCCCTCCTCCTTTCCCACCCCCCTTCTTCCACTCCCCCACTAAACAGCTGACATGTGCCCTCCTCTCTCCCTTCCCAGCTGAACGGCAGTGGTCAAGTGAAGGTGCCCAGTCACTACATCTCCTCCCAGATGCTGGCGCCTCCTCCGCCCCCCGGGATGCCCCGACTGACGCTGCCCTCCGACTCCAAGTCCAGCACCACCACCTCGGACGGGGGAGCCAACTCCCCCACGTCACCCAGTAAGTGGGCCGCTGGTGAGCCTGCTACTCCCAGCCCCTAGGTCTTCAGTGACAATAGTTTTTAAGTGTATAGGGTTGTCATACAGATCCATCGTACTCATTACTGATGGACTTGTTTATGAAAAACAAAGCCAAAGTGATTCAGTACCTGAAGGACGAGGCTATTGTCTCGCAATCCTTTATAAGAGGGAGGAAGGGGGAGAACATTCAGGCGTTTCCGTGCAACTCCTACTCCCATCATCATTAATCATGATCATTTCATTGAGATACACAGGACAGCTCAATATGCTTTACTGAGGACGCTTTAACAATACCAATAAATGACTTTGATTGAAATCTCTGCTAAAGTCCTTCACAACGCCAGCTTCCATTAGTGATACACTTTCTTAATCAGTAATGGAAAGTTACAGTACAAAGTTTGTTGGATGCTGACAGGAGTCCACTGTTTCAGTTAAATGAGCAGGGCCCACCTGTTAATAGATCAATTAGTCAGTACACAGAAGATCACTGTATAATTGATATCAAAGGGCAGGCTTGTGTCCTCACTGTACTTACTGCCCTTATTGTTAGCTATCTTACTAAGTTCCATTACATTGTACTGTATGATCAAGATAAGTTATGACCAACAATGGTTCTGATGTATGGTCTGCGATCTTGTATTGCTGCACAGTATTTCAAAATTGTGCATATACCATAATAAGATGTCAATTTCAGTTAGTATCTGAGGCAGGGGAATTCCCTTGAAATAACTGTGTGCATGACACATCTGCCATTCTTAATGATCTGGCTGCTAATTCAGTTAACAAAAGATTAAACACATGTATTCATTACTGCCCAACCTGATTGACATAACAAGCCATTATGTTCTAAGAGTGTTCTCTCTCTCTCTCTCTCTCTCTCAGCATACTCAGCTCCTGGGACACCTCCTGCCAACCGCTCTTTTGTAGGGATCGGACCTCGAGACCCTGGCACACTCTACCAGGCACAGGTACACAGCACAGCTAACTTTACTGTAGAAAAGCAACTTTGATTTCTCTGTTGTCTGTTACACACTACTTCACTTATGTCCATAACTGTACATAACTCGCGCTCATGTTCACATAGCCACCACAGGGAATGCTACTGAATTAGTACCAGTTGATGGAAGGAATATCTATACACTGTATTACAGTATATTATGTAAATCACTTGAATAATCCTAATCACTATGATTTAAGAAAGTTGCTGATGTCAGACATACTGTATGTAGGCCTCTGCTCTAATGCTCATAGCAGCTCAGAGCTGTAAACCCTCTCACCCCCCTGGCTCTGTTCCTCTCTCTGATATCAAAGCCATACGTCTATGTTCAATTATAGATCTGAGGGCATTAGCTAGGATCTGCCTCAGGGTCTGAATGTTTACAGCCAGCCCAGGACCCTTTTGATGTAACAGGGCTTTTCCCTGTGTGTGAGAGATTTACATGGCCTAAGAAATGTCTCTCTTGTTCAAGCTTACATTTACCTCAGAGTGAGATCGTAGATATTCACTGTTAACACTCATGGCTTTCTCTTCCATTTAGGGATAGATGAGGCTTAAACGTTGATCTATTAAGTTGGTCTCACTTACAGTGGGGAAAAAAAGTATTTAGTCAGCCACCAATTGTGCAAGTTCTCCCACTTAAAAAGATGAGAGAGGCCTGTAATTTTCATCATAGGTACACGTCAACTATGACAGACAAAATGAGGAAAAAAAATCCAGAAAATCACATTGTAGGATTTTTAATGAATTTATTTGCAAATTATGGTGGAAAATAAGTATTTGGTCAATAACAAAAGTTTCTCAATACTTTGTTATATACCCTTTGTTGGCAATGACACAGGTCAAACGTTTTCTGTAAGTCTTCACAAGGTTTTCACACACTGTTGCTGGTATTTTGGCCCATTCCTCCATGCAGATCTCCTCTAGAGCAGTGATGTTTTGGGGCTGTCGCTGGGCAACACGGACTTTCAACTCCCTCCAAAGATTTTCTATGGGGTTGAGATCTGGAGACTCCAGGACCTTGAAATGCTTCTTACGAAGCCACTCCTTCGTTGCCCGGGCGGTGTGTTTGGGATCATTGTCATGCTGAAAGACCCAGCCACGTTTCATCTTCAATGCCCTTGCTGATGGAAGGAGGTTTTCACTCAAAATCTCACGATACATGGCCCCATTCATTCTTTCCTTTACACGGATCAGTCGTCCTGGTCCCTTTGCAGAAAAACAGCCCCAAAGTATGATGTTTTCACTCCCATGCTTCACAGTAGGTATGGTGTTCTTTGGATGCAACTCAGCATTCTTTGTCCTCCAAACACGACGAGTTGAGTTTTTACCAAAAAGTTCTATTTTGGTTTCATCTGACCATATGACATTCTCCCAATCCTCTTCTGGATGCACTCTAGCAAACTTCAGACGGGCCTGGACATGTACTGGCTTAAGCAGGGGGACACGTCTAGCACTGCAGGATTTGAATCCCTGGCGGCGTAGTGTGTTACTGATGGTAGGCTTTGTTACTTTGGTCCCAGCTCTCTGCAGGTCATTCACTAGGTCCCCCCGTGTGGTTCTGGGATTTTTGCTCACCGTTCTTGTGATCATTTTGACCCCACGGGGTGAGATCTTGCGTGGAGCCCCAGATCGAGGGAGATTATCAGTGGTCTTGTATGTCTTCCATTTCCTAATAATTGCTCCCACAGTTGATTTCTTCAAACCAAGCTGCTTACCTATTGCAGATTCAGTCTTCCCAGCCTGGTGCAGGTCTACAATTTTGTTTCTGGTGTCCTTTGACAGCTCTTTGGTCTTGGCCATAGTGGAGTTTGGAGTGTGACTGTTTGAGGTTGTGGACAGGTGTCTTTTATACTGATAACAAGTTCAAACGGGTGCCATTAATACAGGTAACGAGTGGAGGACAGAGGAGCCTCTTAAAGAAGAAGTTACAGGTCTGTGAGAGCCAGAAATCTTGCTTGTTTGTAGGTGACCAAATACTTATTTTCCACCATAATTTGCAAATAAATTCATTAAAGCTCCTACAATGTGATTTTCTGGATTTTCTTTTCTCAATTTGTCTGTCATAGTTGACGTGTACCTATGATGAAAATTACAGGCCTCTCTCATCTTTTTAAGTGGGAGAACTTGCACAATTGGTGGCTGACTAAATACTTTTTTTCCCCACTGTAAATACAAACTAAACACAGTACCTCGATATGTCCCAATGTGGCTGCAGAGCTGAGGCATTTGGGGCTTGCTGCTGCATTGCAGTGCTTCCTGCTCCATAAAAAGTGCAAGTGCACCTCAGTGAGGGGTGTGATGATGTAAAGGGAGAGAGGAAGAGAATGAGAGAGACTGCTGAGCTAGGAGGTGTGTGTGTGTGTGTGTGTGTGTTTTAAGAATGTAACTTGAGAGGTGAATTAGATCTGAAGTAAAATGGCAGAGTCAGCTCATCTGGCCAGTAGAAACATGAAAGAACATAGGGATCCTGCACATGCGATAATAACCAACACATTGTAATGTAATAACACAGGGACAATGCTACACCCCAGGTTACCTTTTCTTTTGTTGTAACCCATCTCAAAGGTATAGAGAGAAACTACTTTGTAGTGTTAATTCTGCCAATTGTCACGGGATATCTAGTCTCTGCTGCATAGTCCTGCTGCACTCATAGGGAACGTCTTTCTTTGTCAGAGGAAGTCATTGTTCCTTTGCTCTGTGTCATGTGGCCTCTTCTGGGCCTCTGCTCCTTCAGCCCTGCTCAGAGAGAGGAACGATAGGGAACCAAAGGGTGGGGGGAATGGAGGGGGCCTTATGAGCCTGCTCCGGAATGGTCACGTCCAGGGCTGTCTGGTTGCTATGGGAAACCAGACATGATGTAATTGCAGGATGAACTTGAACTTCAGGGAGTGGGGAATAAAAAGTAACAGCAGACAAAACTAATGCAAGCCCTGTCCAGCTCGAGTCATTCATCAGCTAGCGGTCCGTCCACTGTGCAAAAAAGCTGGGATTGAAAACCTGCTCCAGCGCGTACTGTGTGTGTCTGTGTCACTATTGTTTACATTTTAATTATCTTATCATCTTCTTTTGGATAGCAGTACGATTTATTTTTCTTTTCAGAAAAATACAACCTCATAACTCAAGGCAGCATTGTAATAGAGTAATACAAGGTCAGTGAGTATTCAGTACAATAGTGTGCTGCATTGAGGGGACAGCTGGGCAGCTCTCTTGCTCCCCTCAGACTGTGCAGCTCTGTCCCAGACTCTCAGCTCTGTATTTTCTTAACTATACTTTCCCCTCTTGGCGAAACGTTTTACAAGAAACAAAAAATTGTTTTTGGAGTGAGACACTCACCACAGTTTGTCACGTATACTCCCTCTCCGGCGTACGAGGTCGCCAGTCTGCTGATTATTACGCACACCTGTCACCATCGTTACGCGCACCTGCGCCTCATCAGACTCACCTGGACTCAATCACGTTCCTGATTACCTCCCCTATATACACTACCGTTCAAAAGTTTGGGGTCACTTAGAAATGTCCTTGTTTTCCATAGAAAAGCAATTTTTTTGTCCTTTAAAATAACATCAAATTGATCAGAAATACACTGTAGACCAGGGGTGTCAAACTCATTTTAGCTCAGGGGCCACATGGAGGAAAATCTATTCCCAAGTGGGCCGGACCGGAAAAATCATGGTATATATAACTTAAAAACAACAACTTCAGATTGTTTTCTTTGTTTTAATACGATCAACATACAACATAAAGCTGGAGCCTGAGGACAGTGTGTCCAAAATAGTACAAGCACAACATCACTATTAATCATAAATCACGTCAAGTTTATTTGAAAATTCTAAAGAAAAAGAACACACAAACACACAATGCCTCAGTGATTAACAGAACTGTTTCACAGATCACAGAACTATATCAGGGTGTCATTTCTCAGGCAGAAATGTAGATACAAATAATGAAATCCTGTTCCCCAAACAAGTGCAAGAACCATAGAGTCAAGAATAGGTTAAATATACAAATAAAATAAAAACAATTAAAAACAATAGCACATCAACATAAAAACATATAAACATAAAGCTGGAGCCTGAGGACAGTGTCCATCCAAAAGCACAACATCACTATTAATCATAAAACACCTCAAGTTATTTGAAAGTTCTGAGGACAAAGAACACACAAACACACAATGCCTCAGTGATTCACAGAAGTATATCACAGATCACAGAACTATATCAGGGTGTCATTTCTCAGGCAGAAATGTAGATACAAATAATGAAATCCTGTTCCCCAAACAAGTGCAAGAACCATAGAGTCAAGAATAGGTTAAATATACAAATAAAATAAAAACAATTAAAAACAATAGCACATCAAAATAAAAAAATATAAACATAAAGCTGGAGCCTGAGGACAGTGTCCATCCAAAAGCACAACATCACTATTAATCATAAAACACCTCAAGTTATTTGAAAGTTCTGAGGACAAAGAACACACAAACACACAATGCCTCAGTGATTCACAGAAGTATATCACAGATCACAGAACTATATCAGGGTGTCATTTCTCAGGCAGAAATGTAGATAAAAATAATGAAATCCTGTTCCCCAAACAAGTGCAAGAACCACAGAGTCAAGAATAGGTTAAATATACAAATAAAATAAAATCAATTAAAAACAATAGCACATCAACATAAAAACATATAAACATAAAGCTGGAGCCTGAGGACAGTGTCCAAAAGCACAACATCACTATTAATCATAAAACACCTCAAGTTATTTGAAAGTTCTGAGGACAAAGAACACACAAACACACAATGCCTCAGTGATTCACATAAGTATATCACAGATCACAGAACTATATCAGGGTGTCATTTCTCAGGCAGAAATGTAGATAAAAATAATGAAATCCTGTTCCCCAAACAAGTGCAAGAACCACAGAGTCAAGAATAGGTTAAATATACAAATAAAATAAAATCAATTAAAAACAATAGCACATCAACATAAAAACATATAAACATAAATCTGAAAGCGTTGCTCAAACTCCCGTAACAGTCCCGTTATTTTATCTTTGAACCGCTTCATGTCTGCCACATGTTGGGTCGCGCACACATTTTTCAGACAGGGGAAGTGAGCTGCATCACCACCGGCAAGTTGCGTCTCCCACAATGACAGCTTCAACTTGAAAGAACGTATGCTGTCATAATACTGCGTGACAACTTTGTTGCGCCCTTGCAGCTGTTTGTTCAAGTTATTCAGGTGCTCTGTAACATCCACCATAAATGCAAGGTCCTGCATCCATTCTGCGGAATGAAATTCTAACACTGGTTTGCCCTTTTCTTCCATGAACTGTTCAATTTCTTCTCGTAAATCAAAGAAACGCCTCAGCACAGCACCTCGGCTTAACCATCTTACCTCAGTGTGGTATGGCAGGCCATAGATGTGGTCTTTCTCTCTGAGAAGGCTGTCAAACTGACGGTGATTCAGGCTTCTGGATCGGATGAAATTAACAGTTTGGATGACCACCTTCATGACGTTATCCATCTTTAATGACTTGCAACACAAAGCCTCCTGGTGCAAAATACAGTGAAAAGTCAAAAAATCACATCCTCCATTTGCAGATTGCACTTTCTCTCTGAACTTTGTCACAACGCCTGCTTTTTTTCCCGATCATTGAGGGCGCACCATCTGTAGCCAGGCTGACAGCGCGGGACCAGTCCACTCCGACCCTGTCCAGCGCGCCGACGAGTGCGGTAAAAATATCAGCTGCTGTCGTTGTATCTGTCATCGGCACCAACTCCACGAACTCCTCGGTGATGGTCAATGTGTCATCAACTCCGCGGATGAAAATGACCAGTTGTGCAACATCTGTAATGTCCGTGCTTTCATCAATTGCAACCGAAAACGCAATAAATGACTTTACTTTTTGCTTCAACTGGCTGTCCAAATCCACTGAAAGATCGGAAATCCTGTCTGCAACTGTGTTTCTTGTCAGGCTGATATTTGCAAAAGCCTGCCGCTTTTCAGGGCACACAATCTCCGCTGCCTTCATCATGCATGTTTTTACAAATTCACCCTCACTAAATGGTTTTGAAGCCACTGCGATTTCATTAGCAATGAGGTAGCTAGCTTTCACTGCAGCGTCACTGATGTCTCGGCTGTGAGTAAACACAGACTGCTGTTTCTTCAGACCCGCCAACAGTTCATTCACCTTCTCTCATCTCCGCTGTCCTTGAAAGTTGTCATATTTGTCGGCATGAAGACTCACATAGTGGCGACGAAGGTTATATTCTTTCAGCACTGCAACATGCTCTGAACACACCAAACATACAGCTTTCCCATTCAATTCCGTGAATAAATAGGATGACCATTTTTCTTGGAACACTCTGCACTCTGCGTCCACTTTTCTCTTTTTTGACAGAGACATATTGGGGCAATGAGGGTGCCAAAGCACATAATGTTAAAAGTAGAAGCCGTAATAAATATCGCGGGCAAAACAAAGTAGCTCATTGGCTGCACATGCTTGACCTACTTGCTCTGCCCCGGTATAAACAGTTTGCTTGCTTAACACAATTGCTATTGCGCCGTCCAGTGGACGCAATTGGAACAGCAGTTTATTTTATTGAAAAATTGCAGCGCATTTTTATACTTTACAAAAAATATATATATATACAAATATATATACTTTTTTTTGTTTTTTTACTTTTTAAAAAAAATCATCTCGCGGGCCGGATTAAACCCGTTTGCGGGCCTGATCCGGCCCGCGGCCCGGACGTTTGACACCCCTGCTGTAGACATTGTTAATGTTGTAAATGGCTATTGTAGCTGGAAACAGCTTTTTTTTTTATGGAATATCTACATAGGCGTACAGAGGCCCATTATCAGCAACCATCAGTCCTGTGTTCCAATGACACGTTTTGTTTGCTAATCCAAGTTTATCATTTTAAAAGGCTAATTGATCATTAGAAAACCCTTTTGCAATTATGTTAGCACAGCTGAAAACTGTTGTGCTGATTAAAGAAGCAATAAAACTGGCCTTCTTGAGACTAGTTGAGTATCTGGAGCATCAGCAATTGTGGGTTCGATTACTGGCTGAAAATGGCCAGAAACAAATAACTTTCTTCTGAAACTTGTCAGTCTATTCTTGTTCTGAGAAATGAAGGCTATTCCATGCGAGAAATTGCCAAGAAACTGAAGAACTCATACAACGCTGTGTACTACTCCCTTCACAGAACAGCCAGTAATCGAACCCACAATTGCTGATGCTCCAGATACTCAACTAGTCTCAAGAAGGCCAGTTTTATTGCTTCTTTAATCAGCACAACAGTTTTCAGCTGTGCTAACATAATTGCAAAAGGGTTTTCTAATGATCAATTAGCCTTTTAAAATGATAAACTTGGATTAGCAAACACAACGTGCCATTGGAACACAGGACTGATGGTTGCTGATAATGGGCCTCTGTACGCCTATGTAGATATTCCATTAAAAATCAGCCGTTTCCAGCTACAATAGCCATTTACAACATTAACGATGTCTACACTGTATTTCTGATCAATTTGATGTTATTTTAATGGGCAAAAAAATGCTTTTCTTTCGAAAACAAGGACATTTCTAAGTGACCCCAAACTTTTGAACGGTAGTGTATGTCACTCCCTTTGGTTCCTTCCCTAGGCGTTATTGATTCTGTTCCGTTGTTTCATGTCTGTACGCTACTCGTGTTTTCTTGTTTTGTTCCTTGTTCCATGTATTATTAAATTCACTCCCTGTACTTGCTTCCCGACTCCCAGCGTACACGTTACACAGTTAACCTTGATTGGCTGCGATTGGTTGTCTTTACCATCACTAAAATGTGCTTTTGGTTTCTTGGGAAGCGTG